ATTTTGGCTTTTTTCAATTAATCAAGAATTACGCTGCAACAATCTTGTTAATTGACAAGTATTATATATCAAATAAAGCCTCTTACACAGCCCAACAATGTTATAGATCGGTTAAATCTCTATAAATCTGCATTGGAGAAAATTTTTTTGCTTGATAATCAGGAAACGTGGATTATACTATATAAAACGCAAAATCTTTGCTGAAAACAAATTTTAAACAATTTACTGCAATTTTTGGAGATTTAACCTTTCTAGACCATTGTTGGGCTGTGTAAGAGGCTTCTTCTGATATATATTACTTGTCAATTGACAAGACAGTTTCAGCGTTTTTCTTGATTTTTTGAAAAAGCCAAAATGACCCATTTTTGGGGTAAAACTTTGGTCGAGATTTTGAAGAAAAATTGCACCATATTAATGATGCTAAATGTTGAAATTCTAATGAAATTCTAAGTAATTTTGTTCTTTTCACTTTTGTCTAATTTTAACCCAAATTGAGAAAAACGTGTTTTAAAATTCAAGTTTTGTTCATTTTTTCCAGATAATTTAAATCAGCACTGTACTTTCTAAGTTTCGCGTAACATGATTTTTTTTGTTGCTTGATCCAATTTTTGTCTACCTACTAGTCTGTTATTTTTATGAAGGTGTTATTGCTCCAATTTTGACTAAAGTGAGGAATAAATTTGTTTGATGTGCGTTTTCTTAAATTCAGAGCAGTTTTTTAAAAGTTGATAACGTATAGGCATCGATTAGGAAACTTGTGAATTGTCGAGCGAATATGCTTTCATCAGGCTAAAATGCGGATGGCATCGCTGCTGGAATAAAGGGTTGATGGTTTCAATACGCGTATTTATTATCCGCAATCATAGTTGTTCTAAATTGAATTGAGCAAACTATATTTGGTAATATTGATTCTACTCAAATGTTAACAGTTGCATTCGATATTGGCAATAGAAAACTTACAATTTATCATAAAATTTTACCAAAAACTATTCGGGAACAACTAATGAGCATTCGGAACATTCAGGGCTTTGTTCTGTACACAAGCGCAGTCTTGTTACCACTATATTATCTTTTTCGACATGCGTCTTGACATCAGACATACTGAAATGCGTCTTTAAAAAATCAAATTTGCATTTCCAATTCGCCATTTTTCTGCATTGAGGTTGATCCTTAGTTTCGTATATTGAGTTTTCTATTGAAAGTGGTTTTTATAAGATGTGTCTACGCTATTTTGATGAGTATACCTTGCGTTATGTGTGTAATCTTTCATCATAAATAATGAATAAAGGGTAGGCGCGCGTTTTTTTCAGTCAGCGACTTATTACGTGTGAAATTAATCACTCCAATTTGAATAGACGCAAGCCAATCAATCCCAGTGGCAGCCTACGCAAAGTATTTGATGTCATCTAGTTTTTTTGATCAGCAAAAATTACAGGAAAAATTCTTTATTTTAAAAAAAAAAAGTTTTGATGGAAACTTTCAATTTTTAGGTAAAATAACGTCATTTTTTGGTGAATGGAAACTTAAAACAAGCGTTTAAAAATTTTTATTCAAATAAAAGTAAAAAGAGAGAAGGAGAGAAGAAGATCAAGGGCAAAAATAACCTTGACATTTCTATGCATGGAAAATTGAAAAATATCCATTGATGTTTTCCATGGAGGATGTTTTGAGGAAAAAGATCAGTTGGAAAAAGTCAATTAGAAGATTGCATTTTGAAAGGCTTTTTTGTCTATAATCTACTACTGAAAATCATTGGCACATACTTAACTTCACTGAAGAACAGTTTTACGCTTGTATGCTCAAAAGAAAAACCCTAATTACTATTCAGTTGTTAAAAACAAGTACATAAAAACATAATAAAGGTCATTTTTGGTTGAAACGAGTTTTTGACTGTTGAGACTGTATTTAAACAAGTTTGAAACGTTTGCAGGTTGGAAATTTGATGAAATTTCTTATGAGACAAAAACCTGTGCTCCTCACGTAATGCTAAGAACAAAAAGTAATAACTAGCGCCTGGTAATAATTTTTTGTTCTAATCAGTTTGCCTCAACAATTTCTACAGCACTACGCATTTTTTATTCCACTCTGGTTGCGTTGCAAATTTCAGGCGCCTGCGAGCCTACGAAATGTTCGCATTGAAAAAATCACTGTTTTATCTGAACTAGTTCAATAACATCTTTTAAAAAGTAATCTGTCAGACAACACAGATGTACTGGTTTTACTTGCTCATATCAAAAATTAGAAGAGACAAAACTGTTCGTTTCAGGAAGCAGCCCAGTATGTTGTGAATGATTTTCATTGATGATTGGGCGCCATTTTATTGATTTTCAGCGAATTCACTGAACATTAATTTTTCTCAACATGGGGGTTTGGGAGCCAAAATGCGTTTGGAGAAAAAACAATGGCAGTAACCAAAAAACTTAAGTTTCTTTGAGAATCCAAACAAAATTATTGTGATAAAAAAACATTACGAGGCCAAACTGTGCACTGGATAGGCGCACAATTTTGTGTCTGTATGTTCCTGGATTCCTGAATTTAACCTTTAAACACGTTCCAAAATATAACAATATACAATATATAGCGTACAAATAACTGTAGCGTAAATTTTGTCGGCACATTTGTTGCGTCGCAGATTCCGAAAAAAGCAAATATAGCTAGTTGTTCTGGGTTCCGCAACTGTAAGTGGAATCCGCAAAGGTAAGTGGAATCCGCAAACTGTAATTGGATTCCGAACTTTGTTTATTACTGAACTTGCATATAAACAAATAAAATCTAGAGCTGGAATTCTTATTTTTAGCAAGGAGGAATTTAAAAGCAAGGACTTAACCATTGTCAGCGGCATCCACGAACAAATCTTAAATATTGGGGTACAAAATAAGTGGATGTCATCTCTTAATATTTGGGATACATATACCATCAAACATTTTTTGGGAATTTTAGTTTTGGAAATACAACACCGAATAATTTCAATATTTGAAGTCATTGTTCGAGTGTGTTTAGAAACACAACGCACAGCATATCGCCGGTTTATGTCAGTTATTGGGATTCCATCGATCCCAAATACTGGTCAGTATTTGGGATTGACAGAATCCCAAATACTGGAACAAAATGGAATAAATATGGAATAAATTCGTTACTAATAGTCATTTGGTTGAGAGTGTTTAGAAACACAATGCACATCATATCGCCGAATTAGGTCAGTATTGGGGATTCCATCGATCATAAACATTGGCCAGTGCTTGGGATTTCATCAATCCCAAACCCTGAAGCTGGGTGTTTGACAGAAATTGAGATCGAACGTTAGGCAATTCAACAAGTAGCTAATCAATGTAGCAATTTAGTAATTGAGATTGAATTTCCTGGTAACCACCTAGTGAT